ATAGCAGGTGTGACGTTTTAAACTTTTAAAACACAGTACGCCTGTGTGTATGCTCTGCAGGTTTTGGTGGTCATGAATGCATACATATGGCAGGCCTCTTGGAAAAATATACACAGCACAACATTTTATTTACTTCATTTTTATTTATTTATTTATTTATTTTTGACTCCATCCTTACTTATACACATCTGGGCAATGCTTAATTTTCAGAGACTGACAGTCTTTTTAATAAAAATAAATAATAATAATAAATCATAATAAATAATACTAAAAATGATAAAAACAAACAAACAAACAAAAAACAGGAAAACAGTGACTTAAAGGGATTTTTTTCGTTATTTAAAAGCATTTTTCTAAACTGTGTTTTCGTTTAAATGTGATTAATATTTAATGTGAAAGTGATTTTATTCTCTCCTGCTGCTGCTATAGGAGGTGAGCGTTGCAGCGTTTCTCCCCAATTAGGTTTTTTTTTATTTTGAAAGATTTAGCTGGAAGTCATATTGGTATAACCTGACTCTCTTGACAGTAGCGCGAGCCCCGGGCTTCCAAATAAGGAATCCGGCTGTTGCTGCGCGCGGACACACAGACAGACAAGGACGCTCTGGAGCCGCAAGCTGGGGACGGCGGTTCCCGAGACGCGCGCGAGCCCTCTTTGATTTGCCGCTCCGTTAAACCTTCACATTCACCTGGAAGACTGTGTAACCTGAAGACGGAGATCTGGAGAATAACTTTTTTTGAGACGAATGTCGGAATTTCTGGAATAACAAACTATTTTGAAAAAAAGGAGTTTCCCTTTATAAATTAAAGAGGAGCTGAGGACGTTTCATTTTGGAACAATGTATGAAAAGAGCTGTCGGTGAACACACTCGGGATTTTCTGAACCCATTAAACGCACTGGAAGCACAGTCGGAACTAACGGAACTCCTCTCTGAGTTTTCACCTCTTCTTTATCCCAATTAACGTTACATCTAATTTGCTCTGTGTCAAGCCGAAATTTCCGTTTCTAACAAGGCGTTTGGTGGACTTATCCTCGGACTTATCCCCAGGCTTTTGGAATTGGTGATAGCACAGTAAACGCACCGAGCTCTGACCACTGACAGTATGCATCAAAGGGACTGCTAACTTACTCAAGGTAAATTCCCATTTTCTAAATGAATCACATTCACTCATATTGACCTCTTGCTGACATCGCTGCTCACCTTCAAGTTTACTGTACACACACATGCCATCAACACAGCTTGTTTTGTGTTGCCTCTGCGTTTTGTTTTGGTGAGATGCGTGTCGGTTTTGTCACTGTTCTTGGGCGGTTTGGGGCAAAATGAGCCAGAAAAAGAGACTGATATCAAGTTAGAATATATTATGTTTCTATTATTCTTGTTGTTGTGATCCCCTCTGTAATGTGGTCTGCGTTAAGCCTGGTTGGGGAGTAGCACTGGATTTTTTTTTAAGTCTCACACACCCAACCGGTATGTTGTCAGAGAGTCGCACCGCTGGTGGACAGTCGCCGTCTGGGCTCCTCAGTCCGCCCGTGAGGATGGAAGGAGGCACGTTACTCTGGGGATACGGTGTCGCCTAACTTCGTTCAAAAACATCCTATTTAATGAGTTTATGCTCGCGCGCAAAGGTTAAACACCAACTTGGACATCATTTCAGACATTTTTATATTAATTAAGCGCAACTCTGTAAATCGGCACATATGAAACACACCACGCGGGATTTATCCCCGTAAACACATGCATTTTAACTTTTGAAATTGGTTCCTTCAGCCCCATATCTGAAGTTTTAATTTCAGCCAACACCTCATGTCTTTGAGCCTCTGTAGCCGATGTGATTTTGGAAAACACCACCTGATATGCAACTCGTATAGAATGCCCAGTTTTCAAAGCAGTGTTGCCAGTGGGCAAGGCTGCATTAAAATGCACGTTATTTTGAGTTGGGTTTGACGTTTAGGTTCTCCATCCGACAGAAAGCGTTGCGCATCCGACCAAACCTGGTGCATGACTTGTGGGAGTTAGTCATATTTTAATAAACTAAAGTATAGATCTTATTCTTAGATATCTTAGTATTTAACAGTCAAATAACAGGCTGAGTAATGTGTAGTAAGTGTGAAGAGAGACAAAGCTAGAGTGAAAATAGGAAAGAAACCCTTAGTATCCTTTGACACCTTTAGTTTTCCCCTTTTGGCCATGTGATATTTATTTGTCACCTTACACAAACTTTAAAGTTGGATATAATTACCAGCCATCTTTTGAGAAATCTTGCATGGATTTTTTTTTTACCTTCTGAAACACATGATGAATGTGCTCAAGTCATGTCTTGGTAATACATGATGATAAGGCAAATTATGCCCACTGATGCTTCAGGGAGAAACCAGAGGCACGTAGCTGATTTCTTTGCAGTGGAGTAGGCAGATGAATGCTTTGAGCCTATTGCTGTGGCGCACTTTCAGTCAGCCTGGTATCACTCACTGATGGCCAGCAGTCTTATTCGCCACAAAATGGGTTGTCATTCACTGTCCCCTTCTGGTGCAAGGAGCCTCCCTCAGCTCTCCTTGTGCTGCAGTAAGACTCACTAATGTCCAATTTATGGCATGCTGCATGCACAAAATGATGAAAATAAGACAGACAGGGTAAGCTGCTGTTTTTGAGGAACTTTCAAAACAGTATTTTGGTTGATTTTTAGGTAAGACGTGGAGAGAATTTTTTTTTTTACTTCTGTGTGTGTGTGTTCCTTGTTTGGTTGACAGTATGACAAAATATCCTAATTTCATTCAACTTCAGACATTTTCAAGTTACCAGAGCATACTATTGGGGGCGCTATAAAAACACATAAGCCCGTCCCTTGGATAAGTCAGGTTAAATTTCTATTAGCTTATGTGCTGAAGTGATCCCTGTTGATTTATAGCAGCATAATGTGGGCTTTATTACAAAGGGACAGAGCTGAAAATGCAGAGTCATACTGTGTTTTTTCACAAAAAAAGGGTGTATTTCAACATTTGAGGACATGGTCTTTAAAAGCAAACTGGCGAATTCAGCTTTTGACATAGAATGTGCAGAAGTTTTTAATTGCCGTTACTGTTTTGATGCATGAATGCTTGGATATAGGAAGGTTTATACCTGCATGTTTACCGCCAAGGCAGGAACTTAAGATGTCATAGTTGACTGATGCAGTGTGTAATTCTGAAGGATGATGCCAATGCTTCCAGACTCAAATCAATAGTCTAAATTAAAATTGTGTAAAAGCCTCAGAAATAAAGTTTGAAGTATTTTAAGGCACTTTGGGGCTAGTAGCTCTTTAAAGCAGCCCAACAGTGCGTATACATTCAGAGATAGTGATTAAAAGTGCCCTTGCCATGCTGATACCAATGGTCACTCTGTGTAATTTCTGCTAAATCCAACCCTTTATTCTCCTTTACTAATGCATCTTCCACTTAGGGGTGTATGTAAAAACTCAATTTCCATCAGAGGAAAACCTGCAGTATTGCCTTTGATCCATGTCACTGCAGTTTCTGATGCCTGCAAAAAAGCTTGTATTCCCAAGGGTGTGGATTTTTCTCAACATTGGGGGAGACACATTTAAAGCAGATGAGGTTTGGGGTTCTCTATAAAATTTAGAGTGTTCAACACTTAATTTTCCACATTCTGGTGGATTTTCACAACCCAATTTGTGCCTTTCCTGCATCAGTTTGAGGTGGAAGTGTTTTTAATTCTGTCAAAATAAAAGTCCTCTGTTGCTTTCATGTTTTTATAAATATGAAGGGGCGCATGGCCCCTGCATCCCCCCAAAAATCTACACCTATGTGCGTTCCCCAAAGTGTCAGGGTTGCCGTAGTTAAAATGTATGTTTGTCCTCTCACTGATATTAAAATTTGGAAGCCTTGCAGATGCTAGTCCCAAATCAACCTTCTGTGCAATTTACCCAAGACATGAAACCATAAAAAAATAATGGACCCTCCTGACCTGCTTAGGAATATTTCTGGTGGTTTCATGATGTTTTGTTGTAAGAAATGTGCTTTTTTGTCACAGTGCCACTAAGACCTGCCACAACACACTGAGGAGAGTCAAGTGTACAGGACATGTCTGCTCTTATGACAGCGCATGCATTTCTGGGACAGCGCCAGGTTCAGAGTCAGAGAACCCCCTTTCACCCCCAGGTATGAATATTAGCAGTCAACTGTTTTATCCCCAAGAAAGAGAGCAGATAACATAAATAGACTCAACAGTAGTGCCCTGACAGGCACGGCTGGCTCGGAGTCACAGGGATGAGGCAAGCCGGCAACACAACACAGGCCTTTTCAGAGGCATTCATGCATGTTTTTTTAACCTAGATGTCCTCCTTTGTTTCTGCATCTTACATCCTCCTGCTGCTTCGGAAAATACCCGCGCCGTCAACTCACTCGCCCTTCCCTCCATCCTCTCATCCTTCTGATCGCTCCCCCTCCAAACAAGGCTGCAGTGTCCAAGGCTGGGTGCTATCAGAGAACCTCATATCTGAATTTGTGACATCAGAGGGAGGAAGAGGAGACAGTGAGGGGGGGAAACAGAGGGAGTCATTGAAAGAGGGGCAATGAATAGATGGGTGATGAGGAGACAGTCAGCGGGATGATAGAAGATGGATTAAAGGCGAGATAGAGAGGGACTGTAGACACAGGGCTGAGTGACATAGACAGGCAGTGCTATTCTGCTGCCTCGGAGCTTCACAGATCGCTTTGTGTGTGACACCCACCATGCTTTGGAGTAAATACACAGCAATCAGTCAGCACAGACAGGGTAGTCACACACACTCACAACATAGGCATTTTAAAGGTGAAACATGCCAATATTCCATGTCCTGAAAGTTCTTAATGGCTTCTCGACAGCACTGCGGGGAGAAGATCTTCGCTTGGAGGTTGACCAGATCATGCTTTCCTAATTAGGGACTAAACAAGGAGCTTGGGAAAGGTGCTTAATGAGGCTTGGCCAATGTGCAGAGTGAGATAGGAACTTAGGCTGACAACCATGTAACAGACACAAAGCTCTACCACAAAGAGCCTCAGTAGCTACATTCACACCTCAGCCCTCATGCTCAGTTCTGAATTGCTGTTTAGCTGTGATTGCTGTGTATGATTATTCATTTGGAGGATGGAATTTGTGTCTGATGCCAATATGAGTTGATGTAGGTGTTGAAACTGACATGCAAAGTACCTGTGACGAAATGTAGCACCTAATAGCTAGGCCAGTCATCTAGATAGCGGAGGGAATTTTTACTTTGAATTAGAGGTTGGCTGACTTATTGGTTTGGCCAATAGTATGTTATACATAAACAATCATCGGTGGAACTTTCCTCCGATAGTGGCGGATGGCTGTGCAGCCTCTACCAGTCACACATGGAAAGACATCACCAAGCGTAGCTGAAGAGAGGAGGTTTGTTTTAAATGAACACTGGGTACAGCGCCAGAGAGAGCAGCTCCTTTCTGTTGTGTTACTGTGCCTAACTCTATTGTGCTTCATTTTAACATGTATTATAAACGTGAAAGTGATTGCAGACATTTCCTGTTTCAAATTGGAAGCACTCTAGCAATTCATACACTATCCAGCCACATATTAGGTTTTGACCTAGTCTTGTTTTTCTGTGTTTTATGAATCAATAAAGTATTTTGAGTATTCTGAAAATAAAGACACTCCACTCTAAAGTATCTTGTCACAAATTTTATTTGATTTTTTCAGCCCTGTCATATACCTATTACAAAATCCTCAAAGGTAATAGAAATTTGTATTTCAAATACAAGTAACAGAAATACTGCACCTCTCATGGAGGCTTCATACACAGAGTGAAGGTGATGTCATGGTGTACTTGAGAATCTCAAGTTGACTTCAAGGAAAATTAATTGCTCAAAAAAGCAGATTGATTTATTTAGATATCTTTTACTTTGCCTTAGATGTTCAGTTCAACAGTTATCCAGTTTCTAATAGAGCCAAAAATTGTCCATTCCTGACAGTGTTTTTTGTGAAGGGTTGGATATCGGCTGATTAATCAGCTGTTGGCTTTCTTCCTGCTCCAAACTATTGTTATTATATTGGCCTTTAAAAATCCACTATTGGTTGACCTCTGCTCTCAGTAATAAAGTTCAGTCAGTGAATACTTCACCAACAAATACCCTATCCACTAACCAAGTAAGAAATGTCAGTTTCTATCAGTTGTTTTCTCTTGTCACTTCCATTTTCAAGTGGCGATGTCCTTTGTTGAACTGTCTAAATGCAACCTATGTTGTTCGTATTTAACCACATCTGTAGTGGATTTGTGAATCTTAACTGTCAAGAGCAAATGTAGAAGTAGAATGACGTATGGTGGTTGTGGTGGATGGATGAAAGTGTGCACCTTTGACATAGAAAACAGTGTCCTACCAACAGCTCATGTGGTATTCTTTTAACCTGGTAGTGATCATTAGTTAACCAAGTACCTAAACAGCAGTATCAGGTAATATTTTCTGATGTCATTTGACATCATTTTTCAAGAAATATGGATTAGTGTAGTTTTAATAAGGTATTGTAACCTGAACCTAGGAATGCACGATAATATTGGCACGTCATGTATCAGTATCTGACGATATTGTCTTTTATTGTATCAGCCAATATCAGCTTTAAAATGAACTATTAGAATTGTACAACATGCTTTTTCTTATTTGGCACAGTGAATGTTATAAATATTGAAAATTATTTTATTTCATGTCTCCATCTGGTGGTGGGCCATCATGATAAGAGTATGCATGCATAATATGATGTTAATTCCACTACAGAAGAGACTTGATGATCACTAAAATTATGTGGGGAAAAAAGTGGATATTTCGGTATTTCGGAGTTATTGGCCAAATAAGTTGTTATATATCAGCAAATCCAATATGCATCCCTACTCAAACCATAATTCAATACATCTAACTAAGTACTTTTTGTTCCTCCACCCAACCAAATTGGAACCACAGTGGCTGAAGACCAGAAAATGGTTGTAAGAATCATTTCTGTAGCAGTAATTTGTAGTGGTTCTGATAGGGATAGACAAACAATATCATCTTGCCGGCTGTGGGCACAAACACACCTGAGAAACACCAGAAATTAAGCATTTCTTTTTTAAATTGTGTCAGTGGGCACAATTGTTGTTAAGACACACAATTTTGTAATGTTACGTCAAAGATTGTCATGGAGTGTGATTGGATAGATTGTTGTCAGGGTGAAACTTGGCACTTGTAAGTCAGAAAACATGAATTCTAAACAGGTAAAATTATATATTCTACCTCTATTTATTCTCCTGCTCATTCATGAGTGAAATGACAGCAGTCGGAACTGCGGAAGTAACTGTGTGATCACTTAATCATTCCTGTTGCTAAGGTATAAAAGCTGGGTGAGGTACTACATGGTGCCTTTTGTTTGGAGACAACTGTCGAGAGAGCAGCCAAGCATAAACTGAGCTTTATACTGGCTGGTTGACAAAGGTATTCATGAGCATTAAAATACAAATCCTGTGAAGGCTGAACACTAGATCAGATACGAGGTATCCTCCAGCATCAGTGTACAGGTAGCCAACTTTTCTCTCATCCCAAATCAAACCTTTAGATTTTCACATGCTTTGTGAATGTATGTGTTTGAAAATAAGTGCACTATAAAAACTACAAAACAAGTATCTTGCAAAAATGTACAAAAACCAAATGATTTTATCGGGCCTGCAAGAATTAAACCATCCCTTGAAAGGACTGATGACTCATTTCTTATTGTCAAGACCCAGTGAGTGAGCTGATCATGAGGAGAAAACAGTGAAGCGTAATTACCAGAGATTTAAAGCTAGTGAGTGGTATGATAAGCCTCTGGTTAGGAAACCATTTTGTGCAGCGCTGGTCATTATGCATTTGACACTGTTGACCATTCTAAACTAAGATGACTTGAAATCTTTTTGATCAGAACAAGCAGCAAAATGGTTTGATGACAATGTTGCTGATAGGGTATGGTCATGGTCTAGGTTATGGTGAATAGAATGTGGCTAAGGTTAGGAAACTAACTAACTAAGGAAAGGTTACAGTTAATAAAAATGTCAACGTTACTATCTCCGCACCATTAGACCCCCTTTACACATTGCATTAAAATGCCTTTTGGTGATCAGAATTCAATCGGATAGTGCCTGACCACATGGAAGTACTGGTGTAGATACACCCAAAGTGCACTAAAGATGGACTGTGATTGGATCAACCACATCGCCTCTGGAGGTGGTCAGAAGTATTGTGACCATGTTGAACACAAGTGCATTTTCAGTCCACATACAACAACTATATGGGCGGGAATTTGTAACTGACAGTTCCAAACTAGTAAGGTCCCAGCCAATAGGCAACTAGTGAGCTAAGTTAATAGTAAGAAAGCAGTAAGAAAGCCTATGGATATTCAAGACACTTGTGGACGGAGTCAAGAAGAGACCAAGTTTGGTCTGACAAAAGTATACAAGCTAAACTTGGAAATTCAGTTGCAGTAGACCCATGTATGAAGCAATAGCTAAGCAAATGGTGGAACAGCCACAACTGTTCAGTTCAGCTGTTGTTTGAGCAGGACAGCATGATTGGATCTCAACTGGTTCTCAGTCAGGACACTGTACACCCCATATTAATCCCAGGTTTAAATGTAGTCAGGCTAAATCATATCTAGATACAGATAGAAGATGCATTTAAATGCAAGGTGTGAATGGGGTCATACTGCCTGCCTCCCTATTTAGAGTGCAGAGTACTTCCTGCATTGGCACGGAACATAATTTATTGGTATACTGTGCTGGAGGTGCACCACATGGATCTGTACTTGGTCCTCTGTAATTTATTATGGATATTAACATTGATCGTCACACAAATGACACCATCATGCACTGCTCAGCCTTTATAATTAAAGTCACTTACTTAGCTGTGGTTATATTCTAAAAGGGTTCAGTCCCAGCTGTGAAGCCGTCCTTGAATCCTGACTAAAGACAGTAAATGTTGTTCTTGGGAAACAGGAACAGGCTCCTGCATAACAGGCAGATTGCAGCATCTTGAAGCAAACCACTTGATGTTGCTTCCTTTAAGTTCTTAAGCATTTTGATTAACAGCTGCCTGTTTTAAATTACATGTGGATAGGCTTGAAATTCTTTATTTCAGTTACAAGTACTGCT